CTTTTAAAGATCCTAACAGCAGTTGAGTATAGGTACAGCATAAGCACACAGGTGACAGGTTTTATAGTAAATAAACAGAGGCATGGTGTGGGGGTGTAAAGTCACAACTTTCCTTAAACACTACCTAGGACTCCAGCTGTGTCCACGGCCTAGAAGGGGGCACTATAGTGCAGAGGAACTTGGGCAACTCGGAAGCTCTCCAGCTTAGCAAGGAGATGTCCAAATGAGGGCTGCAAAGCCCACTTCCTCAGGGCTTTCCCTGAACACCCGCCACCTCTCACCCCCACCCCCCACCTGTTAGGTCAGGTCTCTCTGCTGTCAGTTCTCTGAACCATGTGCAATTCCTTCTAGCACCCAGCAGGTTGTATTTGTGTATTCATTTTGTGGTTGCTCAGGTCTGCCTCCCTACTGGACAGTAAGCTGCGTGAGGCCGACACCCTGCATTCAGTTTGCTTTCCATCCCATTTAGTCAGATGGCTGGTGTGCTGTATGTACTCAGTGAATATCTACTGACTGTGTGAAAGTGGTATTTTGTCTTTCTGCTGTTATTCCTGACAGAAACTGAAACCGGTATGAGATTGCCACTGGAGGGGAGCCGTGGGGTTCAGAGGCTTCCAAGCAGGTGAGACGCTGCGGCTGGCACAGAGGTGGAGGAATGAGCCAGCTGGCGAGAGTTCCATATGGCAGAGGGGGAAGGCTTTCCTATTAAAAAGACAGGCATCCCTGACAAACACATGGCTTGAGTTTGATGCTTGATTTTGCGATTTTAGGTTTGAAAGTCTCACTAGTTTTGTATGTTAGATTCCTTTCCCCCACTCCCATCGTCACTCCCTTAGTTTGAATCTCAGGAAGGGGTCTGGGAATAGATACATTATGAGGGGTTACCATTAGGGGCTCTACGGGAATGTTTTATGGGAAAGAAGATTTTCAGGGACCGCAGTCACATTAGGACTGAGTATCCCTATTATGATAACCTTGGTTGATGTTTTTACAGTTTATGAAGCTTTCACATCATCCGAGTCTCACAGACATCATGCAAATTAACACTTTTGGAGAGCTCATTCTGTGTTGAGGCACTACACTGAGCCCTCTATATTTAGAATATATTATTTAATCCTCACCACATCTCCATGACACAGGTAACCATTATTATTATTCCCATTTTACAAATGAGAGACTGAGACCTAGAGGTCAAGTTTGCCACAAACTGCACAACCAAGAAGCAGTTTGGCATCAAACCAGGCAGTCTGTCTGTCTCATCAGCTCACAGGATAAACCACTGCGCTAATGAGTAGTATTGGGAGATACCAATAGACACACTGTTGCTACTATAGGTCTTCCAACTGCTGGTTCAATTCTGTCACTTCATGTTGCTATGTTTTTTTTTTTTTTTTTTTAACAAGAAGTTTATTTAAACAACAAGGTGCTTGACTTGAAGGGTAAACTATCTAGGATTCATTTCTTTTAGAGTAATTTACCCCTACTCAAAGACAGATTGCCCTATATGTAACAGCTATGTACAAAAAAGTTATAAAATTGTCCTTGGTTTCACAATGATAAGTGAAAAACATTAAAATTCTCCAATCAAACAGGTATGCAAGGATTTTTATGTTGTTCTTTTTTTGTTAAACAGTGAGAGCAAAATAACTTACTGGAATATAAAGATAAGAGCTGAATGAGCATGCCACTAATGAAGAAAGGGGGTATTTTCACAGAACCAGTATTTTCCCCCATCCCATCTCCACTTGATGTTGATCAAAACATACCATTGGCCATTTAGTTAAAAAAAATGCAAATGTTTGTGCACATACATCAGTTACTTTATGTACAATAAAGGAATGAGGAAGGAGAAAATGAAAGAATAGAAAAAACTATACTGTAGCAGTCAGATGTGTTGAAACCAAATTGCAGTTTTCTAATTGAGAATGTCTTCTTGGTCTGGAGGAACAGAGTTCTGGAGTAAAGTAGCAGGTTCCCTTTTTAGTAGACACCTCCGTCTGCTGCTGGAACACCAGTTGTATCTTCATCCTCCATTGCCAACTGTGCAGGTGTGTCTGTGTCATTGATTGGCTGCCCGTCAGATCGGAATCTGATCTGCCTCATCGACAAACCCTCTCATTCACAATAGGCTTTCATTAGTTTACTAAGTGGTGTATGCCTCTTTATCTTAAACTGCACCACAGAACCATCCTGTCCCGCCACCTTCAAATTAATATAATCGTTGTTCTCAGTCTTGACTCCTTCCTTGGGCTTTTTGTTGGCCATGGTGAGCGCCGGAGTCTCCTCAGCTGCCACTTCACAAAAGAGGTACCAGGTCTGCACCAAACGAGCACACAAGCAGCTCCAGGAGCGGCCCATGTTGCTGTTTTTTAAAACTTGTTTGCATGTTTCATTTTAGCTTAGAATTTATCAGAGACCATAGTGATATAATTGTATGTAATTGAAATTACATCAACCAAGTCCAGATAAGAATCCCCTACATTTACTAATTTTACAATATTGTTGAGCCCAGCCAGTGTGGCTCAGTGGTTGATCATCGACCCATGCATGGACATGGCCAGTTGGATTCCCAGTCAGGGCACATGCCCAGGTTGTGAGCCAAATCCCCAGTGGAGGGTGTGCAGGAGGCAGCCAATCGATGTTTCCATCTCTCTCTCCCTTCCTCTCTCAAAAAAAATAAAAAAATATATATTTAAAAATTGTTGAATACATTTACTAATTTTATTTTTTTAGAGGTGACCATTGCTTAATAACCATAGGACACATTTATTGAGTACATTGAGGAAAACTTGTTTCTTTCTCTTACATTCTAAAACATATTAAGAAGTGTGTTATCTGTGCCTCCTCCCCTCTCCACGACGGATAATTGAGGTTTTAATATGCAGTAGTGACATTCTAGTAGATGAAGGAAGGGGCAGTTCCGGAGGGCAATCTCAACTTCTGCTTCATATATTTACTCCTGCCATTGTCCCTTCCTCTTCACTGGTAATTCAGGAGGCTCTCTGAGAAGAGAGACAGCAAGGCTTCTTAGATGGATCCAAGGACCACGGGCTGGGAGACCAGGTTTTATGAAAAGGTCTGCTAATTGAATTTGCTAATTTGATCACACTGCACGTTGGTTTCTTCCTGTGCTTGCTAAATGTAAATAACATGTGTTTGAGTATTTGGTGATTATTATAGGGTATTACAGTGGGTGAGCAATTAATTTTCCAGATCCAGTGCTCAGGTATAAAGTGAAAATCTGCTTTTTGAGATGCTAGGCTCTGTGACAGTCAGCTGACCTCAAAGCCTTCAGAGTGTAGCAGCCATTTAGTTGGTTCTTGTTCATGTGACATATTTTACAGTCTCTGAGCTGTAGCTCATCAGGCTTATAGTTGGAGGACATACCAATTGGTTTCCTTTGTTTTCAGAAATGAAATATGTCATTTTATATAGTCTTGCTGCGTATGCCAACCTCCCCAACCCATCTCCTTTAAAGGTTTTTATTTTGTTTTGTTTTGGGCACAGAGCTGCTTTATCTGTGACACTAATCCAGAGACAGGAGGGAGAAGTGACACGGGAAACAAGATGAGTTATTTGGACTTCTTGCTGCAGTTCCGTTTTGATGATTTGGGCCAGGACCGCTAGCGGTTTGAACTAGATTTAGTTAAGATGCAGGTTCTTTGGGGTTTTGGCAGGAAGCAGTCAGGGAGTATAAGGGGAGAGTGCAAAGTACCCACCCCCTTTTTCGTGGTTGTTGTAGCCTATGTCACATTAGGCAACAAGATGCCGCTGTTAGTGAAAGGTGCCAAGCTGAGATTCTTAGAAGCTAATAAAGATGTTTGTGGGTAAGGAACGAGTTTGTTCCGTGTCAGTGAATTGCTGTTCCATAAATGACAGCCTTTGACGCGCAACATTGGAGTTAACAGAAAGGTTGATTTCTTTTGAACTAAGATAAAATATATATACATTATTTCTAATGCAGTTAAATTAAAAGCATTTTCTAAACAAATCTAGGAAGGTGTTAGAGTTAGGGAATCCATGAACTCTGTTACTCCTAAGTTGCAGACTGGTTGGACTTAGTTGCAACAGGAAGAACTTCAGACACAGGAACACAGAGTAACCCTTCAGTTTTGAAAGGTCTCCTCGATCTATAAATGATCAAAGAAACATCCGGGTAAATACGGCTCCCAGCGCTTAGTTCGCTGTAAGAGCGTTGTGTCCAACTTCCGCCTGTTAGTTGCAGCCCGGGACAATAATTTGGGGTCTTCATCCTTGGACAGGATCAATACATCCAAACATTACTTGCAGGTGCCCAGCCGCAGCAGCTTCCAACAACGGCAGACCTTTCACTGATGCTCTTAGAAACTAGTTGCAACTGGCCTGGCTTGGGGCGCCGGGCGGGTGGTATTGCCCCTCCCCAATTCCTGTTTGGTTTGCAGCCTCGGCAAAGAAGGACTGACGCCTTTGGGTGGGGGTCTGGCTCGCAGGCTCTGAATGTAAATAGGAAGCCACGCAGCTGAGCCAGTGCCGCGAAAACTGGTAGTGCCCGTCTCCAAGGCTTCGGTCTGAGTGTCTGGAGAGGTGAGACTCGCCCTCCTCAGCCCCGGGCCAGTCTGCACAACCAGGTAAAAGTCCGGCCCAGGGTGGGCTGAGCGGCCCTGACAACCACTAAGGCGAGGAACGAGCAGAAGTCCTGCGGCCACCACCTTGGAAGGACCGGGAGGCTTCAGTCACCGCCTTCGGAAGGGATCGCACCTACCCTAAAAAAATTAGAAGGAGCTCCATCACGCGGAACAGCGGCCGAGACCAGGCTGCGGGCGCGCTCCCGACGAATGAGCGCTCCCTTTGCCCCGCCTCCGGCCGGCCCGGCCCGCTGATTGGGCGCAGGAGCGCGCCCCAGCCAGAACGCGCCCCGCTGCTCGTTCGTGCTCCGGGCGGAAACCCGTGCCGGCTGCAGCGGCGTTCCGTGGGCGGAAAGGCCAGGGAGGCGGGAAGGCGGCGCGCAGCCCGCCCCTCCCCACTCCGCCTCGGCCCTGCAGGGGCTGGATGGACAAGTTGGGCACGATGGCTCGAGCCCGGGCGGCGGCGGCGGCGGCCGGAGGCGGCGGCGCGTCCTGCTCCTCGCCGCGGCGCCGGCGGTGATCGGAGCGAGCGGCCGCGGCCCCCGATGAGACTGCTGGCCGGCTGGCTGTGCCTGAGCCTGGCGTCCGTGTGGCTGGCGCGGAGGATGTGGACGCTGCGGAGTCCGCTCACCCGCTCCCTGTACGTGAACATGACGAGCGGCCCGGGCGGCCCGGCGGCGCCTGCGGGCGGCAGGAAGGAGAACCACCAGGTACGGGCCCGGCCGGCGGGGCGGGGGCGTGGCGGCCCGGCCTTCCCGCGCTGGGCGGCCATTGTGCGGGGCGGCGGCCTCGACGCCTCGGAAAGTTTCCCCGCCGGGCGCTCGGCCGGGGCCCCGCGGCGTCTTTTGTTACCTGCCCGGCTGCCGAGGCCTCCGGTACCCCGCCGGCCCGGCTGGGGCGCCCGACCCCGCATTGTTCCCGCGCCCCAGGCGGTGGCTGCGGGCGCTCGGCCACCTCGGCGCCCGGCGCTGGGCACCCGTCTGGCGCCGGGCCTGAGCTACGGACCAGCAGACCCAGCCCGTCACGCCGCACGCTCCATGCCCCGGAGTGGCCGGCCCTCTTTTTTTGTCTGGTTGAACCTCAGCTCATACAAAGGGTCATAAAGAAATGTAACCGTGCGTCGCAGCCTCCCAACTCTCCGGGCTTATTCGGGTGACATTTGCCCGAAGCACTTACAAATGTGTTTGACAGGCCCTCGCTCCCTCCCCACCCAGCCTTCCCCTCCTACCTCAGGGACATTTCCTCCAAACTTCGAGGTTGGTGTCTGACCGGAAAGATGTGGCAAGGACGAGGAGATGCAGGCTTTTGCTGGCAGGGTTTTACCACCAGCTCCGGGTTGGAGTGAATTCTAGGAGTTGTAGTTGCAGAGGGACCGGCTGGGTCGTCTTTTCATTAGCTTAGTTTTGTGCCACTTAAAGAATGATGTGCAGGTCAACCGTAGAATTAAGGGTGAGATGTTTCATATTTGACCATAATGTAATTTACAGTTTGCATTCATTGAAAACAGGCTTTTGACCTCCGTCAGACTGTTGGCTTGTTAATAACTAGCGTTTATAGTACAGCTTTCCAGAGAGCAGAAACTAAATTATTCTCCGTTTTGTGTCTCATCATTTTCATAGATTTCTCATTTTCCTGTTGTTTTTCTTATGCCAGATGTTCAGCGAGTTTACACTCAGGTCGATTTCATGCGTTTTAATGAAATTAAAGAATCATCGAAGGAAGTAAAACAGTTCATTTAGAAAAGTAGCGTTTAGTTCTTATTTAGCAAATAATTATAGTGGTCTTTTTTCTACTTTTAAAGGAAATAATAAATTTCTGTATATATATATATATTTTTTGGTAATCCCACAGCGATTGCAATTTGTTAGGGGATAACTGCTATGATATTGTTAGGGGTGAACATAAAGCTAGCCAGTGGTTTTAAGTTGTAAAACCACATTCTTTGCTATGGATTAATTACTCACATTGGTCTTTTTTAGATGAACAATTCTAAAGTACTGTAGTGATAATGTACAGTTACCAAAATGTGACATCTCCATATGGAACACAGATAAGGTGTAAAACGACGAATTAGAAATGTCAGCTGGTAGAAATACTGTTCTGGATAGGGTAAAAAGTCTTGTTTCCGCTGACGTGTAGTTACGAATGAGCGAATCTCCTAGGTGTTTGTTCTGACACTTGTCCTGACTACCTTTACTGCAGTACGCTTGATGTCTTCAATGCTCATACAATTGGATGGATTTTAAAAATTGAAAAACTGTTTAAGTTGTTTGATTTTTATGGAATCTGGGTAGAATTATAGCTGTAGACAGAGCCTCAGAATATCTTAACAGAGGTTACTTTCTAATAGTGTACCTTTAAAAATTTTTTATTTTTATTGTTAACAGTATTACAAATGCCCCCCCCCCCCCTTGGCCCCCTCTACTTGGCTCCTGTTCTGCCCTAGACCTTCACTACCCTATTATCTGTGTCCATGGGCTATGCATATATGGATATAAGTTTTTTTATTATTCTCTTCCTAACCCCCCTTTCCTCTGAGATTTGTCAGCCTGTTCCATGTTTCCATGCCTCTGTTTCTATTTTATGCATCATTTTATTTTGTTCATTAGAGTCCATATGAGTGAAATCATGTGATATTTGTCTCTCTCTGACTGGCTTATTTCAGTTGGCATAATACTCTCCAGGTCCCTCCATGCTCTCTAATGTGTACTTTTCTAAGGAAAACTAATACTGGATTCAGATACCTCATTTACTTCATTATGCTTTGGAGATGCTCAGGTGTGCATGTGTGTTTGTGTGTGTGTGTGTGTGCACGCCTGTGTGTGTTTGTGTGTATGCATGTGTGTACATTTGTTTCAACCAGTTGCACTAACAGTTTGGCAGCTAATGTCTCCAAGATGAAGACTAATCTGGTGCTTTCTGAATATTTAGGGGGAGATTAGCTCTCTTACTTGGAATAATCAATCCAGACATTATTTTGAAGTGAAACAGTCACATTATAAAAATGTCCATAAGTAAGGTTAAAATGAGCAAAAGAAACGCATGTGTAGAAATCACAGTGAGGTAAAGTAAAATAGGCAAAAGTAGGCTTACAGTTGTGAGTACACGAAAGTTTATTCTTGTATTGTTGTTATTAATTTTTGTATTATTTTCCATACAAACGTATTTTTGCCCCACCCTGTATTCTAAGAGCTTGGATTTGCTTTATAAACTTTGTTGCTTATGAAGTAACTTAACTGTAATGGCCCCCCTCCCCTCAAATTAATAGTTTTACACAAGGTCTTCTGGTGTTCATTTGGATGTGTGGGTCCCATAGCCAGCCACATCTGGTTCTTTTGGAGTTGCATGAAAGTACGGTAATGAATTTGATTGGACCATGCTTAGCACAGCTTTCCGTATGGTTATTTTATTAAGAAATTATGATGGAGGATTCTATGGTTAAAAGAATCCTCTGACACTTTGGCACTTGGGCAATGTTTAGTCATTAACAATGCTATTTAGTTACTATAGCCTAGAGATTGAGATTTAAGACTCCTTTGAGCTAAAGCAGCTCTGAAACTGTAGCAGCAGCACCATTTTAGTAACTTGGTTTGGTGTGCTCCCTTCAAAACTGAGACTATGTTTCCCTTTGGGCAAAGCGGAAGCAGGAGTGGCTTCTCTGGATTTAGAGCACGGATATGGCTTGTGGGCCAAATTGGGCTCACTGACCTTTTTGGACAGCCTGTGAAGTAAATTACATTTTTAAGTGGTTGCAAAAAATTACAATATTTTGTAACGTGAAAATTTTTTATATGAAATCCAAATGTCAGTGTCCACAAAGTGTTGTCGGAACAGCCACTGCCCTCACTCACCTGCGGTTTGTGAGCGGTCTGGCCTACAGCCGCAGAGCGGGAGTTGCTGCTCTGTGACTTGCAAGCCTAAAATATTTACTGTGTGGTCTTCTACAGAAAAAGAGTTTTCCCCAGAGAGAAATGTCAGCTTCCTGAATCAGCATATTCTTAATCACAGGTTGCAAGGTGGGTAGATTGACTCACTGAGAAAAAAACTAGTTATGCCACTTTTCTACATTTGCAGACTTGGGACTTTAAAAGAAAATGACAGCACCCAGCCGGTGTGGCTCAGTGGTTGAGCATCAACCCATGCACCAAGAGGTCACTGGTTCAATTCTCAGTCAGGGCACATGCCCAGGTTGTCAGCCAAATCCCCAGTATGGGGCATGCAGGAGGCGGCCAAATGATGTTCTTTCTCATCGATGTTTCTATTTCTCTCTAAAAAATCAATAAAGAAAAAAAATTAAAAGAAAATGACATGTAGTCTTTTTTTTATCTTCACCTGAGGACATTTTCCCATTTTTTACAGAGTGGGAGGGAGAGAGAGGGAGAGAGGGAGAGAGGGAGAGAGGGAGAGAGGGAGAGAGGGAGAGAGGGAGAGAGGGAGGGGGAGAGAGAGAGAGAGAAATCGAAATCGATGTGAAAGGGACACATCGAGTGGCTGGCACCCACACAACCCAACCAGGGCTGGGGACAAACTGCAACCGAGGTATGTGCCCTTAGCGGGGCCGAAACCAAGTCTCTCTGGACTGCAGGCCGACGCTCTAACCACTGAGCCAAACCGGCCAGGATGACATGTAGTCTTTCCTATGCAATTGCACCTAGTACTTAAAGTTAATGAAAATATTATAGACCTATTGAAACTTGAAAGGACCCTTAGGCCCCACTATCTAGGTTCCTGGTAATAGCAGTCATTCAATAGCTTCTTTTTTTTTTTCCATTAATTAATTTTTGTTACAGATGTTTCTCCTTTTCCCCCCACTGATTCCCGCCTCCCCCTCCCTCCCTGCCCTTTCCCCAGTTTGTTGTCCATGTCCACTGTTCATGCATACATGCATATAAGTTCTGTGGTTTATCTCTCCCCCACCACCCCCTCTTTAGGGGATTGTCAGTCTGTATCCCACTTCCACGTCTCTGCGACTACCCCATTCCTCAGACTGTTAATGTTCATTATATTCCACAAATAAGTGAGATCATATGAAACTTGTCTTTCTCTGTTTGGCTTGTTTCACTTAGGATGATACTTTCCAGGTCCCTCCATGTAGTCTCAAAGGATGAGAGATCTTTCTTTCTTATAGCTGCGTAGTACTCCATTGTGTATATGTACCACAGCTTTTTTATCCATTTGTCTACTGATGGACACTTGGGCTGTTTCCAGATCTTAGCTATTGTAAATAGTGCTGCTACAAACATGGGGGTACATATATTCTTTCTGTTTCAGGCTTCTTAGGGTATATTCCTAGAAGTGGGATCACTGGGTCAAATGGAAGTTCAATTTTTAATTTTTTGAGGTAACACCATATTGTTTTCCATAGTGGCTGCACCAGTCTGCATTCCCACCAGCAGTGCACTAGAGTCCCCTTTTCTCCACACCCTCGTTCAATAGCTTCTTAATTGATGGAGAGAAAAGATAATTTTTGTAGAACTTCCTAGAGCTAAGCCAGGAGAATTTCTCCAGATGACATTCTGCATGATTTTTTACCAGCACAGACAACAGTCAATATCTGCAATTATTAAGGTGTAATCTAAAATTGCAAGTATGTGTGTATTTGACTTATTTTATTTTTCACCTTATATTAAGCTTGTGCTATGCCACAAGTGATGATGGATTCAAGATAGAATTGATATGATTTGGGTTTTTTTCCTAAATGGAAAAGTAC